TTTGTCTTCATATCTATAAAAATTATTGAAAAATTGAAAACAGAATACTAATGCTTTTCAAAAATAAGATCGAATACTTAAGGAAAAAAAAGGATAATAATAAGAAGAAAATTGAAATCTAATTGAGGATATGTCACTCCCAGTAAAGATGTTCAAGCAGCATAAATAAGAGAATAGTTGACATAAAAAGAAAGATTAAAATGCTTACCGCAATATTCCGACCGAAAGTTGCCATTTTTACCAAAAAGATAGGTAGCTAAGAAGTTAGGGTATGCTGCAACAGCTGCATCCTATAAAAGAACAAAGAAATTATAATATAAAATTAAACGGAGAATAACATAAATTGATTAGTAGAACCATGTGGCCGAACTATAAAAACTTCGCTAGCACAAGTGGAGAGAATAGATATAAGATATAAGAGAACCCCCAAACATTAATGAGTGAATGGCGTCTTTATCACAAATGTGTAGAAAGCTATATTTGAAATGACTATATAAAAATAACTACTTAAAGAGTATGTAAATATGAGGTTCCAATAACCCTAAAGGGACATGCAACTATGATTGTTAATACATTTTCAACGTGTAGATGTATAATTAAAACCTCTTACCTGCACTGTTTCCTCTTTATGTGAAATGCAATCGTCAAGAAAGCTGCGCCATATCTCTAAAACAGAAATTATGATTAAAGTTAAACAAAAACAATCAAAATATAAACCAGTTCCAATATGTTTACGGAGCAAGTAACATAGCACTATGCACTATTGATTGATGAAGACAAAGCTAATCCTTTTCAGATAAAGGCAAAAAATAAATAAACATATATTAGAAATCGGGGGCATAAAAATGCTCTTAAGTGTTCCTCAATTTGAGAATTTTTTGTATTATCTACCGCTTTCGAAAAAAGGATAAAAAAACGATAAACCGTAGAATGAATGGTCGCCATATTGATCAGAATTCGTGTCAATCGGTGTGAAGGTCGATGGAGCTCACCGAGAATCTCATCTTCATGAAATTTGAGTCCTGCTACGGAGACCATGGAGATAAGGTGACAGCATGCCTTACACATCAATTCCCCTGTCAGACCACGAAACTGTTTCGATGCCAAGAGCTAGAGAGTAAATAAAATTTAGATATAAAGAAAGAAAATGTAAATATTCATATTAATAAGATATGAAGAGTAACTGGATTTGATAGATCTCTCGAGATAACATTATTGTTGGGATATTCAGCTCATTTTCACCTAAAAAAATAGATCTCGTGGACTGCATCAATATCAACGTCGTATAAAAGGACTGCAGTACAACGGGATTCAACCGTTCTCTTCTGGCGAGATCGACCTTCGAATCTCTTCTTCATACACTTTCATATGAAATGAAAGTCCCAACATAGTAATTAGGTTTCAAGATCATCGGTAGACCTTAAAAAACGGTTCTTGTCACGGGGTGATGAAAGAATAATTGAATTTTCTGACAATTATATAAGTAGGTCTCATGTCATTCATTTTTATTTAGCTGTGCTTACAAAAAATATTCTTATCCAGGACGGCTGCATTTTGATCTCAACCGGGTCTCATCATGGAGATAAATACCGTAGTTGACCCAGAATAAGAATATATTTTGGAAAAGAAGGCTAAGTGAAACTAAATGGAATCGTGACTTTAGCTGACTTGTATATTGAATAGAAAAATTATTATTACTCAAATGAATATTTAAGTACAAACTATTTTACATGGAAAAAAGAATGAGGCAACGAGTCGATGACGTTTGAAATATACGAGTAAGACAGTAAAAAGTATCACCGGATAAGATATTTAAAAATTATTGAACTGCATGGATTCGCTTATATCAGAAAAAAGAATAATGTCATAGCAAGAAAATTATACAAAAGACCTTGATACAATCTAGCATGGATTCAAGCTGAGGAAAAAATGATATTAAGGGAAACAGGCCTCAAGTAATAATCCGGAAATTATAGAAAGGCCTATTTCGCTACACTTATAAATCGCATGATAAAAATGCTAATTATCATATTTCTTATGAACAAACTATAAAGCCAAGTTGAATATATATAGACTCGATATACTTCATGTGGACACTTATAAACATGAGATTTTCAAAGAAAGTAGTACCTAAACTTTAAAGATGGGAAAGATAGGATCAATGA